TGTAAGTACTTGTGTTTTCCCTCACGGGCTGAGCGTGAGCTGGAGAAGGTGGTCCATAAAACGTTATTGCAGTTTGCAGCTTGAAGACAAATGTGAAAGTCATTGCCGAATGCTCCTGTTCATCCGAGTGCTCTGGAAGCGCTTCAGAGGCTATACACAGTGTAATGAACTCCTCACCATCGCGTATCACCGTTGAGGATCCGGCCCACCGACAAAACACGAAAAGCGCCGGTTCATCACAAATTGCTCTCCGAACGCCTGGATGGGACACGCTGAGTTTTGCGCGCCACGGTCGCCCCCTACGTTTGAGCGCGCCCCCGGGTGTTTCTGTTTTGTCGCGCTTTCTCTCGCCTTTGGGGACCGGGCCGAGATCAATCCACTAGGTTTACGTACTTCTTAGGCTGGCCAATTGATCATGGTACGCCTCCTCAGTCCCGGGATGAACTCAGACATGTGTCAGGCAGCCGAATACCTATACAGAATACCCGAAGCACCGGGTTCTTCTTACCCCGTTAGGAACGGCTGACCGAGGCAGTATTTTCTCTGCGTGTAATGATTCCCCTCTACCCAGGAGCCTGTCACGTGCTGTTCGTTGATTACCATCTCGTTCGTGAGACTCCCGCAAAACTATAAGTACGGCCGGTTCATCACAATTACTTTCCAAACGCCTGGGGAGGACCGTGACATTTTCCGCGTGAAGATCTCCCTCTTACATTTAAGGACGCCCAGGGTGGTTAAGGTTTTGGTGCCGTGTTCCTTGCTCCTCTGGGCGTCGGGGCAAGCCTAGTAAATTACACTCGAGCACTACTTTGCCTGGCCAATCGATCACGGTACGCCGCTCTCAGCTCGGAGATCTACTCAGGCGTGCGTGAGACACATTTGATAAGCCGACTACACCTTGAGACACCCCGTTTCGGGTTGCTCCCCTGAGCATTGGTGACCCAAGTACAGTAGCGTTGTTTCTGCTCGTCAGGATCCCTGTATACCTTTGAAGATGCCTGAGGTGCTAGTTTCCCGTGCCATACATATCCCAAGTGCAGAAGTGTGTCTAGCATACATTGTGGTAGCACGGCGACTCGCTACCCTCCGCCGTATGCACATGGAGTGATCGAGGATTGGGTCTGTTGATTTCAACGAGACCTATACACCCAGGTGGCCATGCGGCGACGAACACTTCGTGGCATTGCTGGTGCATTCGATGTTGTGGGTGCATCTTCGCATCTTGGTCAGCTGCCTATCTCTGGTATGTGGTACCGTGCGGTAGCAAGACATGAGTCTTAACTATCTTGTCGTCTTTGCTCCGCTTGTCACATTTTCTTGACATCCGAAACAGCTCCCTGCATTCCAACGCCCTCACCACCCTGCCGGAGGGGACCTTCGGGAATCTCATGGCCCTGGACTTCCTGTAAGTGGCTGTACGAGACGTTTGTCGGTAGGATGCTTTCCCGCCCGGGCTGAGCGTGAGCTGCAGAGGGTTTGAACGTGTCCCTTGGTTGTTCAGGTTTTCCACTCTTTCCTCTTCCCTCTTAGGGTTGGGGCGAGACGAACGTATACCACTTAGGTTGGCCGCTTAATCGTGGTTCGCGACGTTGAACCCGAGACGTACTCAGACGTGTGTGAGGCAAGTTTGATAGGACGAACATCTGATCCACCCAAGTGTTTCTTTCGCCCCCGGTAACTGTTGACCCATGTAGCGTTGATTTTGCTCACCTTGATTCGCCTCTACCTTGGAGTTTGTCTGAATTGATAAATCCTCACGACATACTGCGCCCATTCCTACTCCGGGCACTCCGTTGGTAATGTTGCGGTGGTACGGCAACAGCTGTAGGTAATGCCGTAGAAGTCGTTGTTAGTGGGTTGCGTTGATTTGCGATGAGAATGTTCCCAAGATCATCACACGACGGAAAACACTCCGTGACAGTGCTGATGACTTGGGTTTCGTGGGTACATCATTTCATCTCGGTGGGCTAGCCATCCCTGGTAGATGGTAGAGGACGGTAGCAAGACGTAGCTAATCTGTCGTCCCTGCTCCGTTCGTCGCGTTCCCTCGACACCCAATTGTAAACCAAAGAAAAAAGGCCCTTGCTCGACAACGCCCTCACCATCCTGTCGCAGGGAATCTCCAGGGGTCTCACGCCCTTGCACACCCTGTAAGTAGCTGTTCCACCGCGGTTTTCAGTAAGATGTTTTTCCGCACGGGCTAAGCTTAGCTTGAGATGGTGATCCATGAAACGGTTCGTCAGGTTGCTCAGCTGCCGGTCACTGGGTTTGATGTATGTTCTCCGACAGAAGATCTTAACATCAGTGGTGGTTGAGGGATGCTGAGGATTGAACCATCGCAATAGAAGCGCAAACGTACTATGTGGATGCAGTAGTTGTGTTCACCCCAGTGCTCCAAATGGGGCTTTTGAGGTGATGCAGTGAGCAAATGGACTGCTCACGGTCGCGAACCATCTTCTGAGAACCCTCCCATCAATGAGAGACTACAGCAGAAATTCACATACCGCCGTTTCATCACTGTTTTCCAAAAGCGTGGGGAGAAGTTGTTTTCTATCCGCACAAAGCCCCCGTCTGAGCAGGATGTACAGGGTAGTATCTTGTCTAGTTGTGCTTTGCTCCGTTCCCTGGGGTTTGGGGGCAAGAACTAGGTTGGCCAATCGATTGTTTCAAGCCACGTTTCAGTCCGGACATGTGCTTAGACGTTGTAAGGCGAAGGTGATGAGGCACCGCTCGAAACATCTCGGCTATTGTCTCGCAGCCGGCAACGGTGCACCCAGTAGTATTTGTGTCTGCTTATCAGGATCTCGCGTCCGTTTGAGGGCGCCCGGGGGTCATAGTTCATGACATGTACGTTCCTACTCGCGCAACCTTTGATGATACTGGTACTTCACGTCCGGCCGGGGGTGATGGTTGATGACATGTGCGTTCCCACTCATGTAACCTTTCATGATACTGGTGCTTCCTGTCCGGTAGTGGAACTCAGCTGTACGTATCGCGGGTGATAAACAAACTGGATCCGTTGGTTGCTGACAAGAATCGTAACCGCGAGTGATCAGGCGGTGGTGGACACTCGATGACCCTTGTGGATGGTACGGCAGGGTGGCAAGACGTTATTGATAGCTAGCGCGTCGTCTCTGCTCCGTCGTTGCGTTCCCTCGACAGCCGAAAAAGGTATACCTGCAAGACACAACCTCACCATCCTGCTGGAAAGTATCTTCCAGGATCTTACGGCCCTGAATACACTGTAAGTGAAGGTTTGAAACGTTAGGCAGCATGTTTTCCCGAATGGTCTTGACCTGCGCTATGAAACACAAAATATGAAGTCCTCGTATCAGTCTGCTGAGATGTCGGTGCATTGGAATTGTTATTCTCTCAGGGAAATGTCCACATCGTCAGCAGTGGTTCAGGGGTGCTGGTAGGTATACCGTGGGACTTGAAGGACTGTGAAGTCAGCGAGGGTGGGTGCTATCATGTGATCTTCGCTGCTCTAGCGCGCCGTCAGAAATGATACGCATAACACCCTGTAAACAGAAGCGGAATCATGTCATCCTTTGGGAACCCCAGCCCAGAAGTCGATGCCGGTGCTTGAGGGTGGTTTCGAAACGGGTAATTCTATTTACGTCACCGGTGGCGTTATTTCTTATATACGTCACCGCCCGTATCTCAGCCCACAGAGCTTCAATTGGCACAAAATGAATTGCGTTGTGTAGCTATGACCCACAGCAGTCATACAAGCCAACTTGAAGCAGAATACACTCTGTAGTTGGAGAGGCATGCTCGAAAAAGGGGTCTCAGCGGAATCAAACGGTGGGCACCAACCACATATTCTACCGTAACTCCGCGGCAAGAGCTCCAATCGACGTAAAACAAACTGTGCTGGTTGACTAAACGCCGTAGCCGTCGTTCAAGCCATCGGGAACGTCCATCCGACCAGTGGTTGCCGAGATATACCCTCCCACGGGGGTACGGTGGCACCGTAGGGCGGTGGCGTAAATAAGCTTATATACGCCATCGCCCGTATCTCAGTCCACAGAACTTCAATTGGCACAAAACGAATTGTGTTGTGTGGCTATGACCAACAGGCATCATACACGTCATCGGGCACGTGCATCCGACCAATGGTTGTCGAAATATGCTCTACCACGGGGGCACGGTGGCATCAAAAGGTTGGCACCAACCACATATTCTACCGTAACTCCGCGGCAAGAGCTCCAATCGACGTCAAACAAACTGTGCTGGTTGACTAAACGCCGTAGCCGTCGTTCAAGCCATCGGGAACGTCCATCCGACCAGTGGTTGCCGAGATATACCCTCCCACGGGGGTACGGTGGCACCGTAGGGCGGTGGCGTAAATAAGCTTATATACGCCACCGCCCGTATCTCAGTCCACAGAACTTCAATTGGCACAAAACGAATTGTGTTGTGTGGCTATGACCTACAGGTAGGTGTCATACACGTCATCGGGGACATGCATCCGACCAGTGGTTGTTGAAATATGCTCTACCACGGAGGCACGGTGGCACCGTAGGTGTCGTATATAAGGTTATATACGACACCGCCAGTATCTCCACGCAGACATCGTTAAATGACACGCAACAACGTCCGTTGTTTTGGCACGACTCTCCGCTATCATCGAAGCTATCGGGAACGTCCATCCGACCAGTGGTTGCCGAGATACACTGTCCCACGCGGGACGGTGGCGCTGTAGGGCGGTGGCATATATAAGCTTATTTTCACCACCGCCCTTACCTCAGCGCATAGGTCGTTAAGTGACACGCTACAACTTTAACGGTACGCACACGACCGTTGGCTATCATTCAAGCCATCGGGAACGTCCATCCGACTAGTGGTTGCCGATGTATGCTCTCCCACGGGGCACGGTGGTGCCGTATGGCGGTGGCGTATATAAGCTTATATACGACACCGCCCGGATCTCAGCGCACAGGATACCAATCGACACGCAACTTTTACGGCACAATAGCACAAGAGCCAACTTAACACTAGGCACACCTAAGCTACCACTGGGTCTTTAGAAAGACCGAGATGGATCNTACGACACCGCCCGGATCTCAGCGCACAGGTCGTTAAATGACACGCGACAACGTCCGCTGTGCTGGCACGATTCCCCGCTATTGTTGAGGCCATCGGGAATGTCCATCCGACCGGTGGTTGCGGAGATATGCTCTCCCACGGGGGCACGGTGGCGCTGAAGGGCGGTGTCGTGAAAAGCTACTTGTATACGAGATCGCCCTTTGATCTCAGCGCACAGGATACCAATCGACACGCAACTTTTACNAATCGACACGCAACAACTTTTACGGTGCTTAAACGTAGCACAAGAGCCAACTTAACACTAGGCACACCTAAGCTACCACTGGGTCTTTAGAAAGACCGAGATGGATCGCAAAGGAGTGTGGGCTAAGGCGTCAGGTAGATGAAGACAAGCTCAGCGAGGATGTATGTGCTGGTTCGTATGTGTATGTGCTAGTCGGAAACAAATATCTACGTATCCTTACAGTACAGTCTACGCATTAATATTCCAACTGTGGCCGCGGCAAAAAATCGTCTTGCGGCAATCGCGCACGTCGGATGGGGAGGACAAACTGCAAAAAAGAGTAGTGGGGAAAAAGTTGGAAAAAGCTCGTGGGGGCACCGTATTCTGATATTTGGATTTATCGGGGGATGGTCCGCCACCACGGCAAGGTACGCCCCTTTTAAAAAAAATATGCGCATCCTCACACGTACATGCACACGGGCAAGGGCCCACGGGCAACAATGTCGGCGAGAAGTAGGACGAGCAACCAATACTCGTCGACGGGGAACCCCTTTAAAACGCGGACAAATTACAAAAATGAAAGAACAAAATAGGAAAAATAATACAAGAGGGGAAAAAAGGAGGGCCAAAAAAGGAAGGAACGAGCCCGGAAACAACAGGGGGAACAAGTGCAGGGGGAAAAAAAAATCGCGATGAACACTTTTAGATGAAGAAATAGAACCTACAGCGGGCATATGAACTCCAAGATGTATCTCATCATGAAACTGACACCATCAGACCCTTTCACCTTCCAGAAATCTTGAAATCTTATTTATATTTCTTGAAGTATAGACGTAGTAGTAACTACTTCGAGTATATACAATCGGCACAACAATCCTAGACCTGTCGGAATAATTTAGGCAATCAAGAGACACATGGCAGCGACGGAGGTATGTGGCTGAAAAGCTACGCTATTTGGTAATTATCGTTCCTTATCATGGCCGCACAGACATCATTAGAACTGATAGACAAAGACCTTTGCATCGACTACTTCACGGAAACCCTTCTGCGAGGCGTACCGCCTGTAGATGGCTGCGGCGTCGGCACCCCCTGCATCACCGAGGGTGATGGCAACTGCCTCCTGAACGCCGTGGCCCAGCTTTTCGTGGTGAAGAAAGCACGCGGGATCAGGAACGACGTCAAGACGTTCGCCGCGAAGCTACGCGTGACCATCGTCCTGGAGGGGTTGCGGCACATCGAGGCATACGTATCCGTGCAAGAAGGTTTCTTCATGGATTGGTCGAACTACGGGGATGAAGTGCGTGACGAGCTGCCGAAGTCGGGGTGGAAGATCGAGCCGGGTCTTGACAACAAGATGCGCGTCGGGTCTCGTCAGTGCGCCAGGCTGATGTTCATTGCACAGCTCCGCCACACCGCCCAGAACCGTAGATGGCTCCAGCAGTTCGTCTTCGCGATCCTGGCCACTGTCATACAGACCCCCCTGCGTGTCTTCCTTCCATGTAAGTTGGTTTTTATGTTGACGGAGGTTGAATGTCAAACGTAGGTGCATTTGAAGTGAGTTTGGTGTTCCTCTCAAGTTGCGTTCGTGTTGGGTTTTACGACGGTACACTGGAACAAGATTACGACACTCAAAAAGCAGCTTGTGATGTCCCGTGCCATTCATTGCGGTCGTGTATTGGCCGCAGCGTTCAGGTGTCTGGCATTGTTAAAGTTCGCCTCCGTATCTTCGGGCGTGTACAATGTTTCGCCGTGCCGTGTGCATACCCATACCAAATCAACACCTTGCCTCACTTCGGTTTGTTCGGCCGTCGGCCTTTATCTGTTGTCCATTTTGACGCCGACCGCAGCCTTTCGGACGCATATGGAGCGACGTGGANATCTTCGGGCGTGTACAATGTTTCGCCGTGCCGTGTGCATACCCATACCAAATCAACACCTTGCCTCACTTCGGTTTGTTCGGCCGTCGGCCTTTATCTGTTGTCCATTTTGACGCAGACCGCAGCCTTTCGGACGCATATGGAGCGACGTGGGATCACACCCTCTTCCGACCGCTCTACAGCTCTGGGCCGCCACGCCCAGCAGTCCATGTGGTTTCAACGATTGCCTCATCTGCGGAATATCGAACTGATTTCGAGGACGCAGCGGGTTGGCGGGCCCAGCACATGCCGCACCAACCCGAGCTGAATCACTGGGTGTCGTTGTCCTCCGAAAACGCCGCCACAGCGCACGCGTCGGCCGTTGCGGCGTCTGCGCAGTTGAGGCAGACTGCATGGCAGACCCGCGATGATGCGCAGGTGGCAGTGGCCCTGGCACAAGCTCAACAAGTGCCGGGGCATGAGGAGACTCTCCTCGCGGAGGTGAAGACCGCCGTCAAGGAGGTGGGAATAAACCGACTCATGGTAGGGCAAGGTTTGGTCGGGGTTGTTGTTTGGCTTTGACAGTTCGCGGCCGATGGTACTCAGTTGTTGAGCGGTGTCACCAGGACGGTACGAAGGCAGTTTTTTGCTGTCTTTGCAGGCCTCTTCAAACCCCTGTTGACCTAGGACCTCTCGTTTTCTTTCCCCGGACCCCCCCGCACGTCCAGGCCAGCGACATGTGCAAGAAGCGCGAGGATTACCACGCACTACTGACAGGCAACTACTTCGTGAGTTGTAACGTGTGCCACCAGATTTGTCAGATTTGGTACAAGAGCTCGCCTGTGAGCGTTTCGTTTGGGTGGGGTTTACCATTAGTAAGGGCAGTGTGTTCTTGTTGGGCGTAGATTTAGCGCTTTGTCACCGCATTCAGCGCCAAACACTCTCAGTAACCTGACGAAACAACTATATATATTGTGATGGGATGTCCATTCGGCTATCCAAATCGAACACCCGATTTCGACGTCCATCCTTTGCGCCTCGCTAGGTCCCGTTGGCGTCTGCCCAAGCGGCAGCTGAAGCCGACAAGGAAGCCGACAAGAAATGCGTGGTGAGACACCGACTCTGGACCGCGTAGTCAGGGAGTTGGCTGCAACAGTGTTCATTTTCGGTGGCGCCTGGCACTTACACGGTGTCCGAATTTCAGCACGCGTTTTTTTCGGGACCGTTTCTTTGTTCCTTCCGCCTTGCCTGTTGCCAGGATGAAGAGTCCGATGAAAGAAGGAGGAAAGCGAAAGCGGCGGCGGCGTCCCGGCCAAAACCTACGGAGCAGGGAGGGGGGTTGGGCGTCGGTGGGAAGACGGGAAGGGGAGAGTCGAGCGGTGGGGTTGGAGTTGTGTGGATGTTCGGGGTCGTTCACGCTCCATGGCATGAGGTTGACGAAAATCAGGGTTTCTACCCTTGTCCTCTGCGCATGTTGAGAGCACACACTCTTCAGTATTTTCCTTCTTTGTTATGTGTATTGCACGTTGCCTGCGTTTAGATGTGTCTGTTCCGAAGTGATGTGCTTTAACGTTTCGTTGCGCGATGCCGAGAGTGGATGAAAGCTCGCTTAGTCGTCGAGTCGGCGATGTAATGTGGGAACTAAACAGACGACTCCACGCTCCTCTCTGCTCATCATGTGCATGCAGGGGGAAATGGACATCACGGCAGGCACTCGCTTCCACACTGGCGGTTGGTCGGCGGACGGGGGGTGGGGGACAGTAATGCGAGCGAACCTAGACGAGGAGTGTGAGATAGTGTCGTACGATGTCTTTATGGACGATGGCACGCGGCTGGAGACAGTACCCGCCGCCGAGGTCGAGGCAGACGTAAAGCACGGCAGAGAATTGAAGGCGCGGGAAACCAGCGAAGGGAAGGTGAGCCGCGTGTAACGTTGATGAAGCGGGCATTTATCGGGGTGGGTGCGTGTGTTGTTCCTTACCCTAAGAATTACGGGATATTGGTGCGACAATTTCGTCTAGTCTGCGTGCAGGAATTGTGTAGATGGCCACGGGTTGAACTTGATGATTCACGGGGCTGTCGGGATCGTGATTTCTCGGGACGTTTCCCCCCCCTCCTGGTGTGTTGTGCCTTTTTCTTGATACACGCGGTCAACCACAGCTCTAAAACGAAGAAACACAAGACGACCGGATGACCGGTTCTGTCACGAATACCAGGGTTTCCCATGGTAGTGGCAGGGTTTTCATAATCGTGGTACTGCCGTTGCGTGGTGCAAACAGGAGGATGACGACTCTGACAGCAAAAAATATTTAGACGGCCTTCAGACCGGGGTTGGAGGGCGCAAGATGAAAAAGGTGAGCCTCGCCGCAGCTCCGGCGCCCAGGTATTGTCTCTTGTTGCGTGGCATATCCCGGGCACACGGGTTTCGTCTGGCGTTGCGGTCGCTCCCGATATGGTGGTGGTGTCGAAATTGGCAATCATTACGTCCTACGTACCGTTATGTTCTCCGTGCTGTGCAAGCAGGAGGGCCACGACCCCAACACGGAGAAAGAGTCAGACGGGCGGCAGAGCGGGGGTGTCGGACCAGATA